CAAGCCCACCAACGACCGCGCGCGTGGTGGTAGGTGCACTAACTACCATTGGAGTTAGCACAAGAAGAAGAAGAAGAAGAAGAAGAAGAAGAAGAAGAAGAAGAAGAAGAAGAAGAAGAAGAAGAAGAAGAAAGAAGAAAGAAGAAGAAGGAGAAGAATAAGATGAAACTACTAGCTTACCGGCGGCTCTTAGGGATGGTGGCGATGACGACTCCGGGCTCGATGGGCTGGAGGAGTGACGGGCTGGAGGCGACGGGAAGGGCACGCTGGCAGTTCCGAGTGTCGAAGGTCAAATGGGCAGGGAAGGGAACGGGTGGCAGGTTGGGGGCAGGAGGAAGGCTGAGGCCGGGGAGGGAAGAGGCAGGGCCGGTACTCCCGCACAAAACGTTTGAAAACGTTGGCCTATCTGGGCCGCCGATCTCTCCAGATCGACGGTCCAGATAGGCTGCCCTTTTCAAATCCTTTGGGCGGGTCTACCGGACCCGGTTCGGACTTTTTTCAGGCCAGGCAACCTCCATGAAGGCCGTGGAGGCCCCCTGGCCCCCCAAAAAATTGAACCTACCCCCCTACTTCAATGCGCTATGGCGCACCGGGGGGGAGCCAGCCCGGTGGACCGGCCCGGTTCCGGTCGGAGTTGGGGCCCCTGGTCCTACCGGGTTTTCAGCCCTGGGCACCATGAATGAATCAAATCGCCAGTGCTGCGCACCAAAGTTTCTGTTTTTATATCTTACACAGATTGAAATGCACGCGTGGCAGCGCCTTTAGGAGCAGCTGATGAACAGCACGTGAATATTCCTGTACCACCCCTTATTTGTCCCAAGGGACAGAGAAGGCTAATGTATTCCATTCTCCATTCGCTTTATTTATGCATCTTTCTATGGTTTGCGCCTCCTCCTTAATGCACGACACACGAGTGCTGTACGCCCCAGGAAAAACAGGATTTGAAATGGTCCATGTCTTTTGGTTTTGAGAGAGCAGCCTTGACCTGCAACTGACCTGGTTGTGTCTCACACCTGTTGCAAAGAGGAAGACCTGCACAAGCTGCGCCATAAGTGTTCCCCTCAGCCTTAGCAACGCAGAGTCCCCGGACACATCTTCTTCAAACAGCCTTGCGACACCTGACGGGGTATGGAAATCCAGGTCCACGAACTCGCTGTCAAATTCTGCAGTTGCGATTTGCACTCGATCCCTTGGCAGAACTTCCGGTTGCCGGTCATCTAAGAATACTCTTTGTTCTCCGGAAGTCAGGTCTTCTGGGCGCTTCACCTTCGCTGCCTTCAGTCCAGCCTTGCCCATTTGATTCGTCCGTAATCTCGCCAAAGCGAGATCGTAATACCAGGGGTCCAGATTAAGGTTCCCAGCCTCCCAGCCAAGGGATCTTGCCTGTGAGATGTAAATGCCCTGCAGGGTCTCTGTTTCCACCATTGCTGCCATCAGACCCTCACGGAAATGAGTCACTTCGACAGCAGCAAGAAGTACAGACCTCCACGCATGTCCCTGCTGCTTGTTGTTGACGCTGACAACGGGCCTGATGCCGCTGTCGCGTCTGCTACTGCTTGTGTGGTGCTGAGTCTCGGACCGGTCAAAGTCATAGCCTCCGACAAAATCTGTGCCACTGGGCAAACTGCCGATGTCCTTGCTCTTTGGCGATAAAACCGAACTTGAGAGAAAGGCATTGTCAACCGGAAACGGTCCAGTTTGCTTTGATATCTGACCAATTTTGTTGATGATTGCTGCATCTACCACGGCATCCATTGCACAAGGATTATCGAGAATCATCGAGTCCTGAAGGCACTCGCTTCCTTGAGCCATGAAATCCACAGATCCTGTCTGCCCAGGCAGTTCATGGCAATCCAAAGCAGTAAGGACTTTGCAACTTCTTGCTTTCCTTTAAAAAAAAAAAAAAAAAAAAAAAAAAAAAAAAAGCTTCAAAAAAGCAAAATAGAAATAAGAACTTGAACCTGCTTCCTTGTTTTCTATTTTCCGTTCCCGTATCTCTTTATCTAGGGCCTGCTCGTGTCGCATTTAGGGCATACTCACACTAGGACTTTTCCGGCTGAGCTCTCGATGTGATTGCTCCCAGATGCATGGAGGGCCAGCCGTAATTGCAGTCAAACACATTGAGAAAAGTACTAGTGAGTATGCCCTTAATAGGAAAAAGGGTCAAGATTTCAAATTTTTACATCTGCACTCCCCAATATCCCCAAGAATTTGAAGTCCAAAGACAGCATCTCATGCCAGTGGACGGTTCGGGGAGTGCCAAAGGAGAGTGAGACGACAGCGGATGCAATGGTGACAGGGTTGCTAGGGCAAAAGAAAAAGGACATGGGGAGGCCTGGTCCAGCACAGGAAAATTAATTCAAAGCACAGGGAATTACTTATCATGTGTCGAGCATCCTGCAATGTGGCACAGCGCCTCATGGGTGCCAAATGGTCAGTGCCGGGCTGTTTGGAGTGCCTGCAACTCTATTAGCAAGCCTGCTGTGTTCAGAATGTATGCGTCTTTTCCCTGGGTGATGACAGGCATTCGTGGCCGTGACTCCACGGTTCCAATGGTGGTGTAAACCTATGGTCTGTACAATTTTGCTAACGGTGCAAGTAGGGGATGTTCTGCTTTGGTTCTTGCTGTATGAGTGGACTGCGTTTCTAGTACTGCCCTTGCTGCATGGCTGCGTGGCTGCCCCGCCTCTTGCCTTGTATTGTTGCTTTGTCTGCGCTGCCCCACTCCTTGGCTGCACTCTCACTTGCCCTGTGTGCCACTTCGCTTCTCTCTCTGCCTCACTGCTTTGCTGCCTTGTCGCCTTGTTGCCTTGTCACTTTGTTGCTTTGCTGCCTAGTTGCCTGCTGCTCGTTGCTCTGCCCTGCTGTTTGCCTTGTCGTTTGGCTCCCCAACTCCCTCCCACGTGCACTACAGCTTATGTGCTTTGTTGTGGCTTGCCGTCCAATGCCTCATCACCTCGCACTTGCCTTGCTGCTTGCATTGTCACTTGCCTGGCTGTCCACTTGCAACAGGAGTCAAACTTCAAACGTCAAGAGTAATTTACGGGTCAAACCGTCAAAGTATCAATATGGGGATTCTACAAACAGTCGAGGCTTCGGTATCCTGATGAGTACGTTTTAGAGTCCAAAGAAGCAGTATGTCATTGACCTCTTGTGTTTTGCTTATTGTTCTTCTACCTCATATTGTGTGCCTGATTTATATGGTTTTGGTCAAGTATATGTGTTGAGGACACTTGATTCTTAATATGCTTAAAAGTCCACTGGGCTGGAAGCATTTGGAACATACCTCTGGGAGCTCATATGTGTTTTTTTCAAATTTTTAACTCAACCCCTAGCGTCCACCAGCGGTGCTGGTACGAGCAGGCAGCACTAGTGCTGTTGGGGAAGATCATGTTGATTCTGTTCTTTAGCGAAAAACACGTCTTGGTGCCTCGCTCCACCACAAACAATTGAAATGTCTGCACCTGGCATTTGTCGCAATACATTCAAAATGACCGATCAGCCCGAATGTGACTGGTCGATCAGCATACCTGCCAAATGTTGAGTAGTGGAGTGAGGCCCTTGGTGTACAGCTTGGCTTGTGAGAATTCACACACACACACACACACACACACACACACACACACACACACACACACACACACACACACGCAGTGACTTGCCCCGCTCCCCCCCCCAACACACAAATGTGCTCAGTGGGGTCGGACATTGCACAGTACTCAGCTTTCAATGCACCTGTGCGTATGGACCATGGTCCCACACACCGTACTGTGCAGCACAGTATGGAATCAGTGCTTACTGCTTCGTGATAAGATACTACGGGCATACTCACACGAGGACCTTTTCTACTCAGCTCTGGACGTAATTGCGGTCTGATGCGCCCATGGAGGACGTAACTGCAGTCAGATGCATCCAGATAATTCCTACTGTGAGTACGCTCTCAAGGGCATCGTCGCACCACTCACCAAAAGCTATGGCGGGGGTGTACCTTTCCTTGTTCTAGCGAAAAAATATGTTCTCTGTTTTATTATTTTATACATTTGGTGAGTAGCGCGACAAGGCCCAGTTCTCTGTGCTCATTGTTGGTTTGTGTTTTTTTTTTTTTGCCCAGGGCTTGGATTCTGAAGGATAAGATACTATGAAGATGCCTGGGCCGTTCCCCGGCTTTGGCAACTAAGCCAGAAAATGGGCCGGGCACCCCATCATCAGCACACAGTATGGCAATGTTGTTTGTTCTTAGCACGAAAGAATACTTACAGCATACTCACAGTAGGACGTTTCTGACAAAACTCTGCACGTGATTGCACACAGATTCATCCCGGTCCGGGCGTAAATGCCGTAAGGTAGATGGAGGAAAGTGCCAGTGTGAGTATGCCCTCAGTGCAGTGCCCTAAACTTGATATTCACTGTTCAAAACGAATCAAAAGTGCTCAGTAGAAATGCTCACCACGTTCTTCCGGTACTCTGCTTCGTTCAGAAGATAGAGCCAATCAGCAATAAGTCGCTGCAATATAGCATGTCGAAATGCACACTTTCCAAGCAACCCAGCCACGCCATGTGCATTCTCTATCTCCGACACTGCATTCCTTATCAAACGTGGAATCTCGCTGACAATCCCCATGGTTGGAAACAAATCAAGGGCTCGAGCAGCTGCCACTGCAGCTTTTTTGCCTTTCAATGGAATCAATGGAGGCGGTATTCCTCCTCCATTCGGGCCGAAAGCAGCAGTGGAATAGATCCTTGAACGATGAAGCCTCTCAGTCCTTTCTTGGAAATCGTTTATCTGCAGCGGACAAACAAGCCCATGTTTCCCATCGTCAAAAAAAGAAAGAAAGAAAATAAGCAAGAAACCATATCGCGCAGTACCCCGGCCCCTAACCCCTGGCACGGGATGGAAGGCCCGAGGCCTTCCATCCCAAACCAGGGGTTAGGGGCCGGGGTACTGCTCCCCGCACAGAGCAGAGTTGAGGATCAACCCCCCAAAAAAGAAAAAGGGGACAGACCCAGCTTGGGCAAATATATAGGGTAGTTTTTGAAAAAAAGAAAAAAAAAAGAAACCATATCCAATTGTCAACATCTTCCGAGTTTTTTGCTGTCTTCCCCCCTCCCATCCACCATATTGTACACCCCTCCTACCAGATTTCCGCACCCCACCTTCTCTCTCTCTCTCTCTCTCTCTCTCTCTCTCTCTCTCTCTCTCTCTCTCTCTCTCTCTCTC